GGGTGGGCAGGGTCAGCGGGGGTGGTGGGGGGGGGCAGCGGCCCCCGGTCGTCCCGTGCACCTCCAGCCTGGGGGAAGGGGCCCGGGTGCCCCACCCTGCCCGTGGGCGCGCGGCTCCGCCATCGGGGCCGCATCGCCGATTCCTCGGTGATGCTCCGCCGAGGTTCCAGGGCTGGCGGTTGCCCGAGCGGGCCGTTCCCCCCCCCCCCCTCCCTTTCGGCCCCCCCTTGCCCTGTGTCCAGGATGAGCAGCGGCATCGGCATCTTTCAAAGAGCGCTTTCTGCCGTTGCTGGCGGGGGGGGGCGTCAATCATCCCCGGGAGGTCCGGTCTGGGGGGGCAGAACCCCCCCCGCCCCCCCCCTCCCCCCAGAAAATAAACCAGTCTGGGGGGCCAGAACACCCCCCCTCCTCCCATCCCTTGAAAAGATAATCCGATCTGGGGGGCCAGAACCCCCCCCCGCCCCCCCCCCTGTAATATTATTCGAGGGTCCAGAATCTCCCCCCCCCCCCCAAGCGACGACCACGACGACGACGACGCACGACGATCACGACGACGACAACGCCGACGCCGACGTCGACAACAACGACGACGACGACGTCGACGCCGCCAGCAAACACGACGACGACGACAACGACGACGAACGGCGACGACGGACGACGACGACGACGACGACGACGACGACGACGACGACGGACGACGACGACGACGACGACGACGGACGACGACGACGACGACGAGGACGGAAGACGACGAAGATGACGACGACGACGACGACGACGACGACGACGACGACGACGACGACGACAATGATGACGACCGAGCCCCAGGTGGATGCGATCCAAGGTGGATCGAGCCCGAGTAGGATCACATCAAAGCTGGATCGAGCCTTGAGAGCATCCTATTAGAGCTGGGTGTAGCCCTGGTGTGTTGATTAGCTGGGCCAGGCCCTGATACGATTCTAGGATTTCCGTGAAGTTCGACCCAGCCCTCATAGGATTCTATTACAATTTCATCCAGCCTTATCAGGATTCGATTGAAGATGGACTCAGCCTTCATAGGATCGTATCTAGTGGCCTTCTGCCCATCCCTCCACCGTGCCGGGGTTGAGAGTCAGAGTCCACATGGATTTTTCTTGGGTCTGTTCGGAGGGCTCTCGGGGGCCTTTGGGGGACAGTTTTGACGCCTCTGGGCAGCCTCTCGGGGGTCTCTCTGGTGCCTCCTGGGGTTTCCTGGGGTCTGTTGGGGCCCTCTGCGGGCTTTCCTGGGGGCCTGTGGGGGCGTCCTTGGGACGTCTCGGGGCCACACGCTCGAAGTGCCAGCTCGTAAGGGGGTTTTCTGAGTTCCAGTTCTCTCCGATGATTGTTGGGGTCTGTTGGGACCCCTCCGGGGGACCGCTTGGGGAACGTTCGGAAGGCTCTGAGAGCCTCATGGGGGCCGTTTGAAGGCCTCCTGGGGCTTCTGCTGGGCCTCTTGGGGCATCTTGCCTGGGTTGTGGATCGTGGATGAGGTTCGGGCTTATTCTGAACCTGCGGGCCTTCTGCCTGGGTCGTGGGTCGTGGATGAGAGTTCTCATGGATGCTTCTTGGGGTAGTTTCGGAGGGCTCTCGGGGGCTTCTCGGGGGCAGTCTTGAGGACCCTTGGGAACTGTTTGGGGGACTGTGGGGGCGTCCTCGGGGCGTCTTAGGGCCACACGCTCGAAATGCCCGTGCGCGTTTCCCCACTGGAGCCTCTCTTGGGGGTGTTTTGGGGCTCTCTTTGGCTGTCTTGGGAGCCCTCCGGGCTCTTTAGGAGGCCCCTGGGTAGTTTTGAACCCTGTGTTTTTTTTTTTTTTTTTTTTTTTTTTTTTTTTTTTTTTTTTTTTTTTTTTTTTTCAAGTCTTTTTTTTTTTTTTTTTTTGTTTTTTTTTTTTTTTTTTTTTTTTTTTTTTTTTTTTTTTTTTTTTGTTTTTTTTTTTTTTTGTTTTTTTTTTTTTTTTTTATTTTTTTTTTTTTTGCTTTATTTTTTTTTTTTTTTTTTTTTGTTTTTTTTTTTTTTTTTTTTTTTATTTTTTTTCTTTTGGAGCCTCTTGAGTCGTCTTGGGACCATCTTCGGGACCTCTTGGGGCGATCTGGGGAGTCTCCTGCACTTGCTTGGACGCTGCGAAAGCGCAAAAGGCCCGTGCGCGGACAACAAATACGTTTTCCGACGGGAACGGGATGGGTTGTTTGTTCTTGGGGCCTTCTTGCGGATGCTCTTGGGGACCTGTCGTTTTGTGGGCCCTTTGGACCGTCTTCGGGCCACAGCGGGTCGTCTTGAAGCTGTCTTGGTCCGCTCTGGGGATTTGTGTAGCCATCTGAGGCGGTTCTGGAAACGCTCTCGGGGGTTCGGGACGTCGTCTGAGGCTGGCTGAGCAGCCACCAGGAGCGCCCTGGACTTCCCAGGAGCGCCCTTGATTCTGACACCCTCCTCCGTGTACCCATTTTGGCTCAAGGCTCAAGATGGAAAAGAGATATCTTGTCCATCGGCATAATATATCATCATGGTAGCGTGAGCTGGCCACTCACTGTTGCCGACCCACCAGGGCCTTGGCGCGCCCGCGGGCGCCACGGCGAGCTGGCCAGAGGCTCGAGGTTGGAGAAGGGCGGCATCGGTCGCACCTGTCAACGCACCGAGCTCGGCAGTGTCCGAGCCACCGGCAGAGGCCGGGAGGAGTCAACCGGCAAGGACCGAGAAGAGCGGCCGCAAGCGCGGCAAGAGGAGCGAGGCAGCGGTCGAGAATAGACGCAAGCAGCTTCAGTTCAAACACGGCCTGAAGGATACAGGCAATAAGCTTCACGACCTCGCGTACATCGAGGACCACCCCTCGGAGAATTCGTCGGGAGCCATCGAGGAGGCGAAGAAGGAGGTCCTAGATCAGATCATAGACCTCGAGCGTACGAGGCAGGAGATATCTGAGAGCAAGGAGGAGCTCGCCAGGAGACACGCAGTCAAACATGGACGAGCAAGTTCGGCAGCAGTTCGACTTACTGAGGCAGGAGTTCGCCGCTCGAATGAGTCAGACCGTCGACGAGATGAGGAGGCTGGAGAAAGAGAATCAACGGCTTCAGCAGCAAGTAGCAGGAGGCCTCGCGGCAATCCCGCAGGCGATCGAGCGCATGGGCGAGCAGATCCGAGGCGCTACGAACGCGGGAGGAGCCGCACCCGGTCTCGTCGACACGAAGGGGATCGGCAGGCCCACGACGCTGGGCGACGATCAGGAGAAGTTCGGAGCTTGGAACCGCAAGATGGAGAACTACGTGATAGGCGTGTACGGAGAGAGCTTTCGTCCTGTTCTTCGGTGGGCTGCAGAAGCCGAACGCCCCGTGACGATCGAAGGGGCACAGGAGGCGCACGGAGGAGTACCAGAGCTGGAGACCAAGGTCCACCAGCTGTACGCGGCGCTGATCAGCACGACGGCAGACGGCAGCGAGAGCAACGACCTCGTGACGGGCGCCCCCGACGGGAACGGTCTAGAGGCCTGGCGGAAGCTTCACCGCAGGTGGGACCCGACGACAGGTCCGAGGAAGAGGCTGATCCTGAGGTCGATCATCTCGCCTCCGAAGTGCAACGCGGAAGAGCTGGGGTCCGCCTTAGAGAAGTGGATCCAGCAGATAGGCAAGTACGAACGCCGCCAAGGAGAAGACGGGCTGGCCGAGTTGCCGGAGGATATCAAGATGGCGGCCCTCGAGATGCTCGTGCCTCAGGACATCGAGAACCACCTCGTACTCAACAAGCATCGGCTCGTGACGTTCCAGGACAGCTTGAACGAGGTAATGACGATCGTAGAGGCTCGAACCGGCGTGAAGATCAAGGAGCCATCGATCCGTGCACGGGCGCATCATCCGGACGACATGGACGTCGGATCGTTCGGAGCCCCGAAAGGAAAAGGCAAAGGCAAGGGCAAGGACGGCAAGAGCAAAGGGAAAGGCAAGACTCAGGAGCCGAAGGGGAAGAGCAAATCGACGAGCGGATCATACTCAGGCCCCCGCACATCCCCGACGGGTTCGGGCCGTGGTTCAGGACACACGGCACCTCGAAGCACCGGCGTGCGCTTCGACGGCTACTGTCGGAACTGCGAGAGATGGGGCCACAAGGCATCCGAATGCTTGAGGAAAGAGCAGGGATCGAGTACGAGGGCTGGAACTGGATCCGCAACGGGGGCAAGCGCTGGTGGTAAAGGTGGCAGCCGCGGCGGCAAGGCCGGCGGCAAGGCGTCAGGCAGCCTGGAGGAGGAGCCTGAGGCGGAGGTCGCCGCTCTGGACATGGGCAGCTTGGACTGCCTGGAGCTCGCCAGCGGCAACGGCCGCGGCGTGGCGGCGGTCGACCTCTCCCCCTTCGTGCAGGACGACTGGATGAAGTTCAACTGGGACAGCGGTGCAGCTGTCTCAGCATTCCCTCGGAGCTTCGCGCCGCCGACGGGAATGAAGGGCAACGGCAGCACGTATCGCACGGCCAGTGGTGAGCTCGTCCCGGACGAGGGCAGCTTGCAGCTCAAGGCGGAGGACGAGTACGGAGTGCTACGAGCACTCAAGGGACGCGCGACGAACGTGCACAAGCCGTTGATCTCGGTGGGGCAGGCAGCAGGAGCTGGACAGTGTTCATTCCTGGGTCGCAATGGCGGCTGGATATTCCACGAGAAGAGCCCAATCGGCAAGCGCGTGGTAGGCATGCTCGAGAAGGAGGCGAAGGCGGCGAAGCACCAGATGCTGCCGGTCTATCGCGAGCAGGGCGTCTACAACTTCTACCTCCAGAAGGGCCAACATGGCTCGGTTGCTCCTCTCGAGGAGGGACTTTCGGCGAAGTCGAAGTCCGAGCTGGTGGAGCTCCTCAGCAGCAAGTCGAAGGAGGAGCTGCTGGAGATCTTCGAGAGGACAGTCCCCAGCAGGCAGCCCTTGGCGTAAGTCCACTGGAAGACTCAATACCGCGGTCCCCTGCGGCATTGGCTGCAGGGGTGGCAGCGGCGGGGTCGGGACCTTCCGACATGGGACCGCCGGGTTTTCAGCCAGCGGCAGCTGCCGCGGCCGACGTTTTGCCAGCTGCTCCTGATGGACAGCAGGCCGACGAGGGCGAGGAGGAGGCTCGCCCGAGGGTGCTGAAGGCACCTCACGAGCCCTCTCAGAGGGAGATCGTCGAGCACGAGGCGATGGGACACGCGACCTACCGCAGTTGGTGTCGCGTGTGTATTGCGGCAAAGGGCCAAGGCCAGCCGCATCTCCGCGCACCGGAGGACGACGAGACGGCGGCGCCGGTGGTCTCGTCCGACTACGCCTTCATGGGCCAGGACGACGCGGACACCATGCCGATGCTGGTCCTTAGGGATCGACGCTCGAAGATGATGGCAGCGACATTCGTGGAGAAGAAGGGCGACGACGCCTACGCCATCAAGTTCTTCGCACGCTTCTTACGGATCCTGGGCTACAGGAAGATCGTCAACAAGTCCGACGGCGAGCCAGCGATCCTGCTGGTCAAGAGGCGTGCGGTGGAGGAGGTTCCTGGCCTCGAGGCCATTCCACAGGAGTCGGCACCGGCCGATCATCAGGCCAATGGGGAGATCGAGGTCACGGTGCGCGAGATCAAGAAGCAGGTGCGAGCGCTCAAGATGGACCTGGAGTCCAAGCTGGGCGTCAAGGTGGAGGACAATCACCCAGTGCTAGCGCACCTGCCGGAGCACGCCGCATCGGTGATCAACCGATACAGGCGCGGCCAGGACGGCAAGACCGCTCTTCAGCGGCTCACGGGACGGCAGTGGAGGAAGCCGGCCCCGCTCTTCGGTGAGCGCCTGACGGTGCGGTTCGCCGGGGAGCGCGCGAGGAAGAACGCGCTGGAGGAGCAGATGGTGGAGGCTCGCTACATCGGCCACCACCCGCGCGACGGCTCGATGATGGTCATCACGAGCGACGGTGTGAAGAAGGCGGTCGGCTTTCGCAGCCTGCCGCAGGGCGAGAAGTGGATCACGGCGGGCTGGGACAGCCTGAAGGGCCTGCCGTGGGACGTGGCTCCGCGTGCGGCCAGTGCGCCGCGAGCCATCGTCGGACCGGGAGAGGCCGGTCCGCCACCGATTGTGGTGGTGCCGCCGCAGCCGCAGGCGCCGAGGAGGATGTACGTTCTCAAGGCGGACGTCGTGCGGCTGGGCGCAACGCCGGGATGCCCAGGGTGCGTCTCGATCGCCAAGCACGGCAAGGTGCTGGCTGGCCATGCGCACAACGCGGTGTGCAGCAAGAGAATCTTCGAAGCGCTGGACGCTGAGGAGGCAGGCCGGGAGAGGACCGGCCAGTACCGAGAGCGGAGGCAGGGCCAAGAGGCCAGAGTCCGACCGGCGGCAGCGGCCGCGGCAGGGACCCCTCCGCCGAAGACGGCTCGGAGGATCACCGAGCCGGTGGCAGCGGCGGCGTCGGCATCGGCCGCGCCGGCCGCGAGCCGATCGGCAGCAGCGCCAGCCGCAGCGGCGCGCATGCGAGAGGGCCAGCCGGGAGCATCAGGCTCCGGCGTGGCGGCTCCTTCAGGAGGAGCGAGCTCCAGTTCGGGAGCAGTGAGAGCGGCAGAGGCCGCCGAGGATGTCGACATGACTGCGACCAGGTCGCGGCTGAAGCGCTTGGCGGAGGTGGCCCCGGATGACGTGCCGGAGGCCCTCGAGCGCGGTGATCCACAGCCGGCAGACGTGCCGGTACCGGTGGACATGGAGGATCTCGCGGCGCAGCCGGCGCCAGCGGAAGGACCTCAGCTGCCAGCGGGAGTGGCAGTCGTGTGGAACGCCAGTGAGGGGAGACACATGCGGGTGCTCGCTCTCGACGTGGCGTCGATCGAGCTGGTCGAGCTCGGAGTGCTGACGAGAGCGAAGGCGGAGTTGCTTCCGCTCGTTCGCGAGCAGGTCAGCGGCCAGTGGGCCAGCGTCGGCGTGGACATCGCCGACGAAGAGGTGGACAGCATCGCCTTATCGGCGTTGCAGCTGGGCGCCGTGGACGTGGCAGAGGTGCACTCGCCACATCGGTTCTCTGCTCGGGCGGCGGAGTTTCAGCTGCGCCCGGGCTTCGCGGCGGACCTGGAGGAACTCAAGGAGGACGGGGCGCCATGGGACTTGCGGCGACCCGAGGATGTCAAGGAGCTCGAGGAGCAGCAGGAGCGGATGGATCCCATCCTGCTCACGGGGTCCCCTCCATGCGAGAAGTTCAGCCTGCTGAGGGGCCTGGGCGCCAAGTTCAGGACCGATGAGCAGGAGGCGGCTGAGATGGAGGAGGCCAGACACCACCTGAAGGTGGCAGTCGACGCCTACTGGCGTCAGCTCAGGAAGCCAGGCAGGTACTTCCTGCATGAGCATCCCTGGAGCGCGCGATCGTGGAATGAGGACATCGTCATGGAGCTGGTCGCGCATCCAGGAGTCTTCACGGTCAAAGGCCCCATGTGTCGGTGGGGCATGAAGCTCACGAACCCACGCAGTGGCCAGGAGGAGTTCGTGCGCAAGGAGACCGGGTGGGTCACCAACCACCCAGGCTTAGCCCGGAGACTGCAGGGCACTTGCAGCAATGTGGACGGACGCGCGGAGTGGCATCGCCACATCACGCTCGTGGGCGGCATCGCGCGGTTCGCGAAGGTCTATCCACCGAAGGTGGTGGAGGCGGTGCTGGAGGAGCTCAAGGACACGCTGAATGACGTGGGGGAGCTCAGCACCGCCCAGGTGCAGCAGTCGGGCCCAGTCCCTGTGGACGCGGCGGTGCCGCCCGGGGACTGGACGAGCTACTGGGACGACGTCAATGGCGGCTACCTGGAGGCGGGCCTTGTGGCCCTGGCTCGCGCGGTCGAGCGCGAGTGGGTCAAGAAGCAGGAGCTGATCGAGATCGTCCCGAGGTCTCAGGCTTTCGCCGAGACTGGGCGTCCGCCCATCCCACTCAAGTGGGTCGACGCGAACAAGGGTGACGCGGAGAGGCCCAACTACAGGAGCAGGCTTTTTTTTTCTTTTTTTTTTTTTTCTCTTTTTTTTTTTTCGTCGTGAAGGAGTCAAGGCGAAGAAGCGCCCTTGACGAGCAGCTGGAGGTTGTCCGAAAAGCGTTTGGGATTAAATATTGAAAAATAAAAGAAAGATAATAAAATATTAATGTATAATTGATGAAATGAAAAAAAAAAAATCAATCAAATAAGAAAAAAGAAAACCCAAAGAAAAAGAATCAATAAAATAAAATAATATTTTCTACTAAAACAAAAAAAATAAAGTTTAATAAAAAAAAATAACATTCGCTATAAAATGATAGACATAGAAAAACAAAACAAAAAGATACATTAACATCAATATAATGAAAACATAAGAGATAAGTGAAGATGATAAATTAGTAAAGAAGAAAAATAAGAATCTAATTGTAAAAATGAAATAACATTATAAAAATGTGCAAAACAAAATTAAATTATTACATATAAAAAAAATTAAATTGGGGTCCTGGTTTCGTCTTCTCGGCAATGCCTCCTCTGGAGGCCATGCGGTCGCTGGTCTCGCTGATGGTCACGTGGACGCGGGAAGCGCCGCTCCACATTCAGGAGTCGCTTCGCAAGAAGGGCAGGAAGCCGGGCAACTTCAAGATCGGCTTCTTCGACATCAGCAGGGCGCATTTCTATGGGAAGGCGCAGCGGAGGATCTTCGTGGAGCTGGAGGAGGAGAGTCGCAAGGAGTACGGCGAGGACAAGTGTGGCTTACTCCTCAAGTCCTGGTACGGCACGCAGGACGCCAGCAAGATCTGGCAGGGCGACTACACGGAGCTGCTGGAGGAACACGGCTACAAGGCGGGCGTGTCATGCCCAGCGGTCTTCTACAAGGAGGTGGACGAGACGAGGCTGCTGGGGCACGGCGACGACTTCGCGGTGCTGGCTCAGCAGCAGGACATCGACAGCTTCGAGGCCACGTTGGGCAAGAAGTACGAGTTCAAGAAGACTGCGAACCTCGGCTTCGACGAGGGCGACGACAAGCAGGCGGTCTTCCTGAATCGGGTCATCGAAGTCAGTGCGGGAGTTCCGCCTGGCGGTGGCCGGCCCTGCCGGCAAGCGATGATTGAGCCGGACAAGCGGCACGCAGAGATCGTGATCGACGAGCTGGGTCTCAGCAAGGCCAACGGCGTGGACACGCCGATGGAGAAGCGCAGCGCCGACAAGCAGATGATGGACGCGAAGTCGGCGGCGCTGGGAACGGCGGAAGCTTCGCGCTTCCGATCCCTCACCATGAGGGTAGCCTACCTGTCTCAGGACAGGCTGGACTTGGCAGAGGCATCGAAGACGCTCGCCAGGTCCATGCAGACGCCGACGGAGGCGAGTTGGCTCATGCTCAAGAGGGTCGGCCGCTACCTTAAGCGGCATCCCAGTACGGTGACGGTCTTCACGGAGCAGAAGATGTTCGACAAGATCCGAGTGTACGTGGACTCCGATCATGCGGGCTGCGCAGTCACTCGGAAAAGTACCGGAGGCTTCGTGGCGATGCTGGGGCATCACGTCATCCAGCACGGCAGTAATCTTCAGTCGACGGTCTCTCTGAGCAGTGGGGAGAGCGAGTACTACGCCCTGGTGAAGGGCGGGAGCGTGGGCCTGGGTCTACACAGCCTCTTCGCAGACTGGGGGCTGGACCTGAAGGTGGAGCTCGCCTCAGACTCATCGGCGGCCCGGGGCCACGTCCAACGGCGAGGTCTCGGGAAGATGCGACATGTTCAATCCCGATACCTGTGGATCCAGGAGCGCGTGGGCAAGGGCGACCTCTCGATCGCCGCGGTTCCTGGTAAGAACAATGTCGCGGACGTGCTGACCAAGAGCGTGGGTGGATCTCTCTTGAGGAGACACATGGCGACGCTCAACATCTGGGATCGGGCACCGAGTTCGACCCAGAAGGATATCAAGTGAAGGAGTGGATCGAATCCATGCTCCGCTACCTGTGGGGCTGGATGAGTTTCCGCCGGTGGCGGTATGATCGCACCGGACGGGTGAAGTGAGGGGCTCGCGGCATGGCCGCAGCCTGGCTGACGAGATGGGCGCGTCGGCTTGGACGCGCCCGCGTGTGACGTGGAGATGGGCGTGTCGGCTTGGACGCGCCCGCGTACGACGCATGTCGTGCCTGGCCGGGTTGGCGGCCAGGCCCGAGGAGGAGTGATTCTGACACCCTCCTCCGTGTACCCATTTTGGCTCAAGGCTCAAGATGGAAAAGAGATATCTTGTCCATCGGCATAATATATCATCAGCCCTGGACTTCCCAGGAGCTCCCAGGAGCTCCCAGGAGCTCCCAGGAGCAGCTGGAAGTCTGGGAGTCCGGGCCCTTAAGAAACTTTCAGCCCCTTTACCTCTGAGGGCTGCAGGGTTGCATGAGCCTTGAGGCACTCCACTACGTGCTGAAGGCACGGTGGAGGATTTAAGTTAAATCGAATCCGAATCGGATTATTTCAGAGATGGATCCAAGCATAGTCAATGTTCATTCGAGTTGGATCGAGCCCTCGTGAGATGGCATTAGAGCTGGATCCAACCCGAATTGGATTGCATCAGAACTGAATTGAGTTTCAGTTTGATTCCATGACAACTGAATCCAGTAGAAGTGGCTCCAGCCCTGGTAAAATTGGATTAGAGCTGGATCGAGCCTTTGGTACAAATCAAGTGAGTTTGTTCGATGGAACCAACATATGGTTTTATTACAGTAGGACCCAGCCCTTGTAGCAGGATTATGTTACAGTTGGGCCCAAGTTGGATTCGTTTCGAGCTGGACCGTGCCTTGGTAGGATGGATAGAACTGGAACTGGAACGAGTTGGAGCGTGCCCTATAAGATTATACCGGAGCTGGCTCCAGCCGTCGCACAATTCTATCACGTAGTATGATTCCACCAGAGCTGGGTCCAGCCCGAGCAGGATCTTATTAAGGATGGATCGACCCCTAGCTGGATTCCGTTAGAGCTGGACCGGTCCTGAATGAGATGATGTTACAGATGAATTGAGTCTGAGTAGGATTACATTCAAGTTGGATTGAGCCTTAATTCCGTTAGAGCTGGACAGGGCGGTAGTAGGGTTTGAGAAAAGTTGGACCGAGCTTTTGTAGGATTATTTCATGTGAACATGATCAAACCCAAATAAGAATTCATTATGGCTGGCTGGAGCCCTAATCGCACGATTCTAGTAGAGTTGGATCGAGCCCTTGCAGGATCCCAACAAAGGTGGATTGAAGCCTACTAGCATTATATCAAAGCCGGCGCCTGGCGCGGGCGCCGGCGACAAGGCGCCGACGACACGTGCGCCGCCGCCGCCGCTGACGTTGTCGCCGTCACCGGCGTCGTCGTGTGCGTCGTCGTCGTCGTATTCGTCGTCGTCTTCGTTGTCGTTGTCGTCGCCAGGCGGGGAGGGGGGATTCTGGACCCCCGAACGAATTTTCCAAGGGGGGGGGGGCGGAGAGGGCCAGGGTGGGGGCGCCCCCATGCATCCCCATGAGGGTGTGGTGTGGGGCGGGAGGGGGGGGGTCCTGATTTGCGATCTCCCTTGATAGAAACGTTTCGGGCCAGCGACGGTGGATCGCGCTCCCTCGTATGTTTTCCCTCGGCCCTCGCCCTTTTCCCCGAGATGCGCCACTCTGCTCCTGCCTGCCCTGACCTTGTCTGCAGTGCGTCGGGTAGGAGATCACGTCGCTGTGTCCCCGAGTGCGCTGGACATCCCGAGGGGAGTCCAGATGTCAAGCAACCGTTAGTCGGCCTGAGCTCGGCGTTCGCCGTCGTTCATGACACAACAAAAGCGTTTGCCCAGACCTGAGCGGAGAAGGGCGCACCGCCGGTCGAGGGGAGGCTGCACTCCCTGGTGGCCCTCCTGCTCGCGCGCAACGTGCAGCGCGGCAGGCTCCTCCACCGCGGCGGGAAACGGCACCCGAGGAAGAACAATCTGCATGCTACCCATCGGTCGTTGAAGGTATATTCGGGCGGAATTGGTACGGACATAATTGGTACGAAGGCTTACAGCAGTTCCTGCCCGTTTTGAACGGGGTTTCTCGTCGGAGTCGCCGCGGGCGTTGTCCATTAGAGACAGAAAGTTGCCTGCCCAACAGCGGCCGCTGTTGGTGTTGGACAAGATGTGCTGGTGGTCATCATACCCGTATTGTCCGTGAACCTGTTTGTCCGGTTTGCCAATATTCCTGGGGTCGGGAAAATTTCCCCTACCCCCAAAAAATAACTCCTCGGAATCTGGGGCTTTGAGGCCCTGGACGCCCTTGGAAGAGGTCGCCGAGCCCTGCCGCGCCTTCCAGGGCGCCTTGCCTGGCCTTGCCCAGCAGACCCGATCAGAGAGGTGGTCGAAGAAGCGCAGGAGAGCCCTAAGGCAGCGCAAGACAGCCTCAAGACGGCCCGAGAGGCCCCCAAGACGGCCCAAGAGGCCCCCAAGACGCTTCAAGAGGCTTTCAGGAGGGCCCCCAGGAGGCAAACATCTTCCCATTCCGAAGGGGAAACGAACATTTTCAGCATCTTGCGAAGGCCTTACGGCCAGCGCCGCCGATCCTGAAGGGAGACGACGACGACGACGACGACGACGACGACGACGACGACGACGGCGGCGGCGACGGCGGCGGCGGCGGCGGCGGCAACGACGACGACGCGGACGTGGGCCAGAGTCCTCAGGGATGATTCTTGGGGTCTCTTCGGAAGTCTCTCGGGGGCCTCTGAGGAGGAATGTTTGAGCCTCTTGGGAGCCTCTTGGGGTCCTCTTGGAAGCCTCTTGGGTGGGGCTTGACCAATGGCTTGTTTGGCCAGTCGCAAAGTCATGGGATCTACTAGAGGGGCCCACGCGCGGCGAGGTAGGAGGAGGACCAGGAGGATGAGGTAGGAGGAGGAACGGAGAGAGGTAGGATGAGGTAGGAGGAGGAGGTAGGAGGAGGACGAGGAGGATGAGGTAGGAGGTACGAGGAGGAGGTACGAGGAGGACGAGGAGGATGAGGATGAGGATCTCATCAAAAAACATCGATGAGGTAGGAGGATGACGAGGAGAAGGAGGGGGATGAGGATGAACGGGCGTCAAAGCGGAGAGGAAGAGAAGGAGGAGGAGGAAGAGAAGGATGCAATCTCTGTCTCTCTCATGCGCTGTCGCCGCCGCGTGGCCCGAGGGCCCGACGGCCGACAGCGACGGGCGGGCCGCGGCGGCGCGGCAGAACATCGCGATGATGCCCGCAGGAGCGCCAGCGCCGCCTGCCTCTTTCTTGCCTTCCTCATCCTCCTCCCCCTCCTCCTTCCTCCTCCTCCCCACCCCCAGCATCTGATTGAGCAGGCGACGTGGCTGCTGCGTGCGTGTGCCTCCCTCCTCTCCTCTCCTGGGTCTCCTGGGTGGCCCGCTGGGCCTCTCCTTGGGGTCGCCTTTTGGGCCCTCGGCGGCCCTCTCGTGGGGTCTGGTCTGATCTGGTCTGTCCTAGGCTTCGGGTGGGTTGGGCCGTCCCCGCAAAAGGCAAGAGGAGGGGGAAGTGGGTATTGACATGTTCCAGGCCGCCCCCCATATTCCCCCTCCCCCTCCTTCTCCCCCATCCTCCGTCCCGTAGCCGTTTGGGCTCGAGTGCTGTCCTGCACCATGCAGGCGGTGCTGCATGATCTATATCAGGAGCACGCTCCGAAACAGTGGGTGAGGGATGCTCATAGGACGCATCGCATATCGTTTTCGAAGGTTACCGCTGCGCTTCGGACGTGTTTGGGTGCGCTCGGCCACGCCATCGACGATCTGAACGTCAGGAGGCTCCGAGACAGCGTGGAGCGATTTGCGCGGAGCTTGGACCGTGGCCCGAGCCCAGGTGAGGTTCGATTGGTCGATGGCTCCAGCATTCATGCATCTGCCTTCCCAGACTTTGTATCCCGCTTCTGCGGTTTGCAGATGGCCACTTGTGATTGGGAAAAGTTTCTTCAGCGCACGAGCCCTGCCACCGCACGAAGCTGGACCAGCTCCTGCGCGACCAGGGGATTTCAAGAGCCAGAAGTTCGTCCGCTGGTACCGCTTATGTTGCCAGAGGTGTCAGAGTACGACGGCTTCGATCGCATCGAACTCCAGAACCTGTGCGCTCGAAAGGATGAGCGAGAGCAGCAATTAGTTCAAATTTCAGACGCAAAGAGCAAGAAGATCAGAGACTTACTGGCAAAGTGCGCGAAACTTGAATTTGAACGGGATGAAGCCAGAAAGCGACATATGGAGACCATGGCGCTGGTATGCTATAAGCCTGGCCGAAACGTCACACTGATTGGCGGATACAGCCTCGCTTTGCGAAGGAACACGTGCTCTGGTACGATTGGTGCAAAGTCGGCAGTTGTCTTGATGGCTGGAGATGACGCACATGGAAACGTGAAGAGCGACTCGACGATCAGAAGATTCGAGCACCGAGCAGCCGCCGCTAAGTATGTGAGATCCGAAGCTTGGCACTCGGAAGGAAGCGCTAGGTTCACAAGTGTGATCGACGACGCAGACGTGCCTGCACATTCAGAAAACAAGCCGTTGTATTTTGTTTCGCACAGGTACCAGGGTGATGCCACAACCACCGAATGCATCGATAAAAGCAAAGTGCACGTGGCCAAGTTCTCCACGACCGATTGCAGCGTCCTTGACATGATGAACGCCTGCTCTCCAGACGGGGCGCTGGATGCCTCGAACCTCCGGTGTAGGAGCCAGGAATTATTCTGCTGCCTGCAAATCGTGAGGGGGGGCAAAGGGCCAGACACCTACGCGTGCATGCGGGAGCAAATTAAATCGACTGCTGGCACGGTGTGGGACGAATCGCCCAGCGACCCCCGCTACGTGAGCATCTACAGTTTTGGATTAGACAACGGCGGGGACAATCAGCCTCAACCAGCTTTAGTGATGGCCTCGATTCTTCATCGCCCAAATGTCATGTGTGCGTTTGTCTGGTGCCAATTTCA